AGTGTTGGAATAAAAATGGTGGGTCCCCCCCCCCCCGGCCCCCCCCCCTTTTTTTTTTTTTCTGGGCGAGTTCTGGGCTTGTGGTATTGAGTTTTGCTGTTAAGATCCTCATAATCTGCTGCTCCTAAAACCAATCTCATCTCCTAGCCCATCTGGGCCTGAGTTCAGAATGATTTTCAAATCTTGTAATGATTGTGAATGTTTGGGCCTGTTATCTAAAGGAGGAAGTACTTAAAAATTAATTACTCTTTGACATCTGTCACTGTGATCCTTCCCAGTTTCTTCCCAGTTCGGTTTCCCTGATGGGCAGTAACAGAACTGCAACCCTTGCCTTAGAGTAGTTAACAGCCTAGCAGTGGAGGCTAACACTGAACCACCACTTAGAATGTGACTGCAATCATGATCACGTGAAGCTGGAAGAGAGTAAAGAGGCATGTTTGGGAGGTCCTAGAAGTCACGAGAAGGAACATAACACTCAGGTTAAGAGCACTGGCTGCTCTTACAAAGGTCTTGAGTTCAATTCCCAGCAACCGCAAGATGGCTCACAATCATCTGTAGTGAGATCTGGTGCCCTCTTCTGGTCTGCAGGCATACATGCAGACAGGACACTGTACATGATAAATAAATAAATCTTAAAAAAAAAAAAAAAGTAATGATGCCTGGGTGGTGATGGTCGTAACAACTTTAATCCCAGCAGTCAGAGGCAGAGGCAGGTGGATCCCTGTGAGTTTGAGGCCAGCCTAGTCTATAGAGTGAGTTCCAGAGCTATACAGCCAGAGCCACACAAAAAAAAGAAACCTTGTCTTGAAAATAATAACAATAAAAAACAAATAGTAATAATAATAACTATGATGGTAACCCAGTGTGTAAAGCTCTTGCTGCCCAGTCTTAGGACCAGAGTTCACATCCTCACAACCTGTTTGAAGCCATTATGCAGTACCACATATCTGTCATCTCATTGTTCCTATGGCAACATAGGAGACAGAAGCTCACAGGCCAGTTAGCCTGGTGTATGCAGTGGCAAACAGCAAAGAGAACTTGTCTAAACCAGGGCAGAAGGTGAGGATCATCAACCTCTGACCTCCATACATATACTATGACACAGATCTGCCCATACTTTCACACACATGCATGTATACATCTCATATGCACACATCATATACACAAAGATAAAAATAAAGGAATAAAAATGGTGGAGGGCACACAAGTTAGCTCGGCAGATAAAGGTCCCTGCTTGCTAAGCCTATAACCTGAGTTTGATCTCGGGGACCCGCATGGTAGAGGGAGGGAGCCAGATCTGAAAGTTGTCCTCTGATCTTCACAAATATGCTACATGCATGCGTGCACATTCTCACACACAAAATTAAAAAATAATGCTAATAATGATGATGGACTGGAAATATATCTCAGTTGTCTGGCATGCACAAAGCTATAGATCAACCTAGGTACCACACACACACACACATACACACAATTTTTATAATGATGGAATTCTGTATGACGGCATATGCTTGTAATCATGGCACTTGAGAGACTAAAGTCACAGGATATACACTATGAGGCTAGCCTGGGCTATATACTGAGTTACAGGTCAATCTGAGCTATATAACAAGGCCCTGTTTCACAAAAAAAGGGAAAAAAGTAAGAACAAAAATAATAAACAATAATAATAATAATAATAATAATAATAATAATAATAATAATAATAATAATAATAATAATAATAATAATAATAATAATAATAATAATAATAATAATAATAATAATAATAATAATAATAATAATAATAATAATAAACCCTAGCACCACAAAAAAGTAAATAAGTAAAATGTTTGAGGCTAGGATTATAGCAAAATAGTATAGCATTTGCCTAGTATCCTCAGCTTGATCCCCAGCACTTCAAAAAAATAAAAATAAAATAGAAAATAATAATTGTTAATTTAGAACTGAAAATATATGGAGTAGCTGAAGATTTTCAGAATGAAGCATGAAACCATGCACATTGGTGCAGATATATAATCCTAGCACTTTGAGAAGATAAGACAAGATCAGGTGTTCGAGGTCAAGTAGTGAGTTTGAGGCTAGCCTGAGCTGTGTATTACTCTCTCTGATAAAACAAAGACCTAAAACAACAGCACCACCAAAAAAGTACAGTTATACAATAGAATAAATTAGTAAGGCATGCAGAAATGATACTTAGTTGGTAAAGTGCTTGATAACAAAGAAAAGGATCTTAGTTTGTTCCCTAGAACCTGCATTAAAAAAACCAAAAACCAGACAAACAAACAAAATTGGGCATGGTGATACTCCTGTTAATCCATAGCTGTGTAGGCAGAGACAGGAGGACACCTTAAGCTCCCCAGCCAGCCAACCTAGTCAAATAGTGAGGTTCCAGGTTCAGTGGGAGACCCTGTCTCAAAAAATAAGATGGAGAGTAATTGAGGATAACAGCCCACATGGACTTCTGGCCTTTACATGCACATGTTCATTTGAGAGTGTGCACACAGATATATACACACAGGATATTTTGATGAAATGCATGATCCAGAAAGAAACTAATATGTCTACTTTGTGTATTTGTGTTTGAGTGTATGCAGATGTGTGTGTGAAATTGATAATGACTAACGTTAACATTGGCTTGGAATGAGCATGTATGTAGCTCAGTAGTAGATCGATTATCCAATATGTGTAAGACCATCATTCAGTCCTTAGCTGTACATACACAGAGAAATAATAATAAATGAGTGAAATGAAAACAAAACTAACATTTTTAAGCTGTAAGGAAAGGATTTCATATATGATGTTGAGATGATTAACACCACTTTGGAAAAGTTATAGGTTAAATCTCTACCAAACTACACTGTGATAGTAAGCTAAACTAAATCAGTGGATTTAGTGGGACATGATAGTACACAATTGTAATCTCAGCACTCAGAGGGCATGACAGGAGGATCCCACCCGGCCAGCCTGGGCTACATAGCAAAGCCTTGTCTCAAAAAAATAAAAATAAGGGCTGGATAGTGATGGCACATGCCTTTAATCCCAGTAGGTAGATTTCTGTGAGTTCAAGGACAATCTGCTCTATCAAATGAGTTCCAAGACAACCAGGGCTACAGAGAAACCCCGTCTTAAAGAAGAAAAAGAAAGCATACACACACACACTCTCTGTTTTTGTAAGTGTATGTGTATTGGCTTATCAAATTTGGTTCAATTTTAAAAGTTGAGAGAGCCAGTGAGACGGATTGGTATAGAGCTAGTCAGATGGCTTACTAGAGAAGGTACTTGTCATTCAGGTCTAATAACCTGAGTTCAATCTCCAGAACACAGAACCAACAGTGAAAGGAGAAAACTGAATCCCAAAAGTTGTCCTTTGACCTCTACAAGTATGTCATGGCACACACATGCCCACACTCACACACACACACACACACACACACAGAGGGAGACAGAGACAGAGAGAAAGAGAGAAATAAAATAAAAAAATTAAAAAATATTTGGCTTTGATGAAATGTAACAACTTGCTCTTTTTTCCCGTTCTTTGAACTTTGAAATTAATACATCAGAAAAACTAATTCCCTCCCCACTTTGGAATGTGGTATTTACATAGTGTAATTATTGGTTTTGAAAGTTATTCAGATAATGTTCTTCTCTAACTCTTTAAGAAATCTCTCCATTGCCAGCTGGTGATGGTACATGCCTTTAATCCTAGTACTAGAGAGGCAGAGACAGGTGAATCTCTGTGTTCAAGGCCAGCCTGGTCTACAGAGTAAGTTCTGAGACAGTCAGGGCTATACAGAGAGACCTGTCTCAAAAACAAAGCAAAACAGAAAGAAACCTCTCCATCCTGACAAGTTGCCTACTGCTAAAAAGTTTATTTTCATTTTATGCTTGCATGCTTTATGTGTACCACATGCATACATGGTGTCTGCAGAGGCCAGAAGAGGGCATTTCTTCACCTACAACTGAGTTACAGTTGTCAAACTCCATGTAGGTGCTGGGAACCAACCCAGGTCATGTGTAAGAACAGAAAGTGCTCTTAACCTCAGTGCCATTTGTCAAGCCCCTGTTGTTATTTTGAGACTGGGTTTCACAATGTAACCTGGCCTGACTTGGACCTTACTGTGTATCCCTGGCTGGCTTCAAACTGATGTTGATCCTCCTGCCTCAGCGTCTTAAGTGTTAAGATTACAGGTGTGGGGCTGGAGAGATGGCTCAGAGGTTAAGAGCACTGACTGTTCTTCCAGAGGTCCTGAGTTCGATTCCCAGCAACCACATGGCTCACAACCATCTGTAATGAGATCTGGTGCCCTTTTCTGGTGTGCAAGCATGCATGCAGTAATTGTATACATAATAAATAAATAAAATCTTTAAAAAAAGATTAAAAAATTAAAAATTAAAAAAAAAAAATTACAGGTGTGTAACACCATGCCCAGTTTCAGTTTTGTTACATTTATTTTGTTCTGTTTGGGGGGTTTTGTTAGTTTTTGTTGTGTTTTGTTTTGTTTGTGACAGGGTCTCATGAAGTCTAGGCCACATTCTTTGCCAAAATATCACAAGAATGATCTCTAGGTTACTTACTAATATTCTTTCCTCTTTGAAACCTCTTGAGCTGGGCTGTCATAATCTACATTATCCTCAGCACCACTGTCTTCCATGCTCCTGCTAGGATGGCCCAGTAAGTCTCACTTAAAGCATTAAATTTCTCTCCTAGTCTAAAGCCCCAAAGTCTTCCATATTCCTACAACAAACGTCATGGTCAGGCCATGAATCACATTAATACCCCACTCCTGGTATCACCTTCTGTCATAGTAAATGTTCTGTTGCTGTGAAGAGACACCATGATCAAGGCCATTCTTATAAAGAAAGCATTTAATTGGGGGCTCGATTACAATTTTGAAAGTTTAGCTCATTATTATCATGGTGAGGAGCATGACCACATGCAGTCAGGTGTGATGCTGGAGCAGTAGCTGAGGGCTACATCCTGACCCAAAGACACAGAGAGAGGATAGGCCTGGCATGGATTTTTGAAACTTTAAAAAGCTCAAGTACAGTGACACACTTTCCCCAAGAAGGCCATACCTCCTAATCCCTCTAATCCTTTCAAATAGTTCTATTTCATGGTGACTAAACATTCAAACATATAAGCCTATGGGGGGGGTCATTCTTATTCAAACCACCACAAGACCTTATCTCAAAATTTAAAACAACAACCAAAAAAATGCCATTCTAACACATAAAAAATAATGTTTGTAATAATGTTTATTCATAGTTCTTTGCTTTAGTTTATGCTAGTAAATTTGTGCTCTAAAAATATTAGTTTAAAGAGGAGAGGAATACTTGTTTTAGGCTGGTGCACGCCTTTAATCCCGGCACTCTGGAGGCAGAGGCAGGCTGCTCTCTGTGAGTTCGAGGCCAGCCTGGTCTACAGAGTGAGTTCCAGGACAGCTAGAGCTGTTACACAGAGAACCCTGTCATAAAAAAAAAAAAAAAAGTAAGCACTGCATGTTGGACAAGTAAGGGGCCTCCTTAAAACTTCTGAGTGTTAGAACTCAGAGTGTTGAACATGAAATGTCTCAGTGGGTAAGAGACTATGTTGTTCTTGCAGAAGACCCAAGTTCAGCTCTCAGCACTCTTGGGTGACTCACAACCACCTGTAACTCCATCTCCAGGAAGTCCAATATCTTTGGTTTCACATGGCATCTACATGTACAATTATACACAGACACAAAAATATGTACATTGTTTTGTTTGTTTGTTTGTTTGTTTGAGACAGTGTCTCTTCTATGTAGTTCTGGCTGTCCTGGAACTCATTATGTAGGCATGGCTGGTCTTAAACTCACAGAGATCTACCTGCCTCTATCTCCTGAGTTCTGAGAATAAAGGCTTGCACCATCACATAGAGAAAATCATAGATCTTAAAAAACAAAACAAAACAAAAACCCCCCAAAAGCAGAAACAGAATGTTTTTGTGTCTTGAAGCAAGGATAGAGTTCACATTAGCATGGAGGAGTGGAAAGGGAACCAGTAGGCAGAATAACTATGGTTCATTTAGTAGATGAGTTGGTTGTTTTAGAATCCTCTTCTCTGGGTCAGGCTATTGCTAGGCATCTTTTCTAATCCTGGCATGTTGTTGTTCTTGTTAAATAGATGAAAGAGTAATGTGCCCTGTCTGTTTTCCTTAGAATTCTTGGTACAAAGAGAAAGAAGGTGGAGTTGGGAGCAGGGAAGGTTGTCTATGTCCACAAATAAAACTTTCAATTCCAATTTATCACTAAAGGGTTGCATATGGTAAGTTTGGACACTGAGTATAGAAGATTACCAATTATTGCTTCCTTTTGATTTGTTACCACAGACTAGATGAGACAATACAGGCCATTGCCAATGGAACTTTGAATCAGCCACTGATGACATTGGATAGATCCTCTGAAGAGCCTTTGGGAGTTCTGGTAAATCCCAACCTGTACCAGAGCCCTCCCCAGGTTAGTGAATATTTTTTCTAACTGATTCTGAGACAGTTTTGACCCCAAATAGTTTTCCTTTCAAGTATATCTGTTTCTTAGACCTTTAGATACCAATTTCCTCTCAACATGCCCACAACACTTACTCTTGCCCAATATTTTTTCTAATTTTTATTAAAACATTTCTGGTAAGATGATCTGTTATCTTCTAAATATTATCATTTAAATATTTTAATGGAGTCTGATGTATTTTGTGTGTTTCTAGTTATGGTATATGCAACTGTGTATATGTTTGCATGTGTAGGGCTGATGTGTATGTGCATCACATGTGTGCATATATGTGTGTAAGCTACAAGCTGAGTACCTCCTCTATTACTTCCCACCTTACATCTTGAGGCAGTACATAATGACTGTGGTTTTAGGGCCTGGGAGTGTACTCAGTATAGCTCAGTAGTAGAGTGCTTGGCTATGTATGAGGCCCTGAATTTAATCTCCAGCATTGGGTGAGGGAAAAGGATTTTGGAGTCATTGGTTATCTTACTTTGAAAAAAACATTAGCCATCCTTCTTTATTTCCAAAACTTGTTAGTCTCTACAATTGCCTACAGCCTCTAATTGAATTGAATTACCTGTAATTCTCTGTTAACATATAGAGTGAGAACCTTATTTACAGTAAGTAGTGTTCTACCTTCCTTTTTAGGACACAAGTTGTTTATTTCTGAGTAATAGAATATTTCATACAATCAATGGTCAGAACTGCTACTCCAACAGCATCGGTTTATCTTTTTTTTTTTTTTTAATGCCTTTATTGGCTCTTTAAAAAAAATAACAAACAAACTTCATTTTATGTGCTTTGGGATGAAGGTGTCAGATCTCTGGAACTGGAATTACCAACATTTGTGAGCTGCCATGTGGGTACTGGGAATTGAACCCGAGTCCTCTGGAAGAGCAACCAGTGCTCTTAAACACTGAGCCATCTCTCCAGCCCACTGTTTAACTTTTTTTTTTGTCTGTAATTACTGTTTACCTTTTTATGGTACCAATATGAGACTCTAAAATATCACATGAAGAATTATGGACCAAAATGTTGAACTCTTCCTGGAAAATTATCCAGAATCAAACATAGATCATTAATAAGTATAAAGTAAAAATAATTAAAATAACTATTGTAATAACTTTGTCTTGGTTGTTATGTATTTTCTAGAGAAAGGTAGAATTGTAGAGACTTCAGCATTGTATTTGTCCTTTAAGATGGGACATTGTGGGGGGCTGGAGAGATAACTCAGAGGTTAAAAGCACTGGCTGTTTTTCCAGAGGTCCTGAGTTCAATTCCCGGCAACCACATGGTAGCTCACAGCTATCTATAATGAGATCTTGTGCTCTCTTCTGGTATCCAAGAACATATGCATGCAGAAAACTGTATCTATAATAAACAAACAAACAAATAATTAAATAAATAAAAAAGTTTGTTCTATAATTTAAAAAAAAAAAGATGGGACCTTGTAGGCTAGGTTGATGGTTCAGCAGATAAAGGTGCTTGGCTATACGCCTGAGGACTTGAGAACACCTACTTTTATAGGTTGTCCTGTGACATCCATATGGGTGTTGTGGCATGCATACCCCACTCCATCCCCAAAATGCATGAGTGAAATGCAATTTGAAAAAAAAAAAAGAGTAAGAAAAACAATAGCAGTATTTGGTGATTCCACCTTTAGTTTTAGCACTTGGGCTAGTCATCTCTGAGTTCAAGGCTAACATGGTTTACATAGTAACCAGGTCAGATGGAGTTACATAGTGAGACTCTATCTTAAAAAACAAATAAAATAATGCAATATTGTTCCCATGTTTGGTACTCCTAAGAATTTATAACATTTCTACCCTTTTTGTTGTTGATTTAGAGATAATTTAAAAAAAAAAAAGTTCTGGGACAGTCAGGACTGTTTCACAGAGAAACCCTGTCCCAAAAAAACAAAAAAATCCTCCCCACTCCCCCTAAAAGCGCCATGAGCAATGGCACAAATTTGTAATCCCCTCATTTGGGAGATGGCAGCATGAGAATCAGTATTACTATTCAAGTTCATTCTCTGCCACATATCAAGTTCAAGGCAAGCCTAAGTTACATGAAACCTTTTCTCAAAATGATAGATAGATAGATAGATAGATAGATAGATAGATAGAGGGCTAGAGAGATGCCTTAGCGGTTAAGAGCACTGGCTGCATTTCCAGAGGACCTGGGTTCAATTCCCAGTACCCACATGGCAGCTCACAACTGTCTGTAACTACATTTCCAGGGTATGTAATGCCCTCATGCAGACAGGAATTCAGACAAAACACCAGTGTACATAAAATAAATTAAATCTTTAAAAAAAAGAAAAAATGGCACTTATGAGATTCCTTTTTACCATTAATGGCTTTGGTTCACCTTCCCCAAGTTCGTTCATTTGTCATCAAAACTCTATTTCTGTTTTGTGTGGTGTTCTTTCCTATGCAGTGGGTAGACAACACTGGGTCAGCCCCACAGAAGAAGACTTCACTCTCAGCAGGACGGAGACTAGAACTTGGTTTACATCAGCACCAGCTGCGAATCCAGGACCAGGAATTCCAGGAAGGCTTTGATGGTGGCTGGTGCCTCTCTATGCATCAGCCCTGGGCGTCTCTGCTTGTCAGAGGGATTAAAAGGTAAGAGTTGCAATTCTTATCTTTTCAAAAGAATTGAAAGTCAAAGTCTTAGAGTGATAATATTTTTGATTTAGAATTATGGATTGGTACTCCTTTGTATCTATCTACTGGTGACTTATAATATTGTTCAGTGCATATAACTTTACACAGAGCTAAGTATGGTGACACAGCCCGGCAGTAGTGACCCACGCCTTTAATTCCAGCACTCAGGAAGCAGAGGCAGGTGGATCTCTTGTGAGTTTGAGGCCACTCTAGTCTACAGAGTGAGTTCCAGGACAGCCAAGACTACACAGAGAAACTCTGTTATTTCCATTGTGTTTTCCTATGTGAATTGGTAGTTAGTGAGATCATGTTATATATTTTGTTTGGGTTTTTTATTTCATTTACCATTTATACTACATGCTCATTTTTCCCTTCCTCTTCTAGAATTTTATATGCTGACAGTGTCCTAACATATATATCCCATATATGTGTGTGATTGATAAAATATATACATACATATCAGTATATACTTTTGTTTTTGTTTTTATTTTTGTTTTATGAGACAGGATTTCTCTTGTGTAGCTTTGGAGCCTTTCCTGGCACTCGCTCTGGAGACCAGGCTGGCCTCAAACTCACAGAGATCTGCCTGCCTCTGCCTCCTGAGTGCTGGGATTAAAGGTGTGCGCCACCAATGCCCGGCTCAGCATATACTCTTTAAAATAGAATTTTAGTTTCTGAAGGAGTGGCTGTATAGCCCAGACTAGTACTTTACAGTTTTCAACTGTAGATACTGAGGCAGACAAAGTTAAGCTTGATTGATCTGAATTACAAAACTAGACTTCAGGTTTTCCAAATGTTCATGCACTCTAAGCTTCAGTTGTTTCTCTACTTATTGGGAAGAAACTTTATTAACGTTTAGAAATTGTCATTTGTACGGGTTTAGCTGTTAACTGTCATTTCCCTCCTTTATTTACTAAGATACACCAGGCATTTTCCTCTGCTGAAAGTCATACTTTCTTGCTTTGGTGTGTGTAGTGCTATCAATACAGAGAAACATGAATCTGCTTCTCTTCTGGGACACCCAAGCCCTCCCTTGTGTATTCTCACTCACTTCCTGTTTGCTTTCTTCCTTTTCCAAAGTAGGAGATGGGACAGCATACACTCCTCAGCTTCCAGAGTCAGAATGCTTTGGTTTCCTTCCTGTTTTAGTTCTATGTTATTCGTCTTTTCTCCCTCAAAAAATGGGATGAGCAGCATCTCTCACATAATCACTAACTGGTGGGAGTCAGTGGGTGGTTCTTTCACAATTGAGGGACCATTTTCCCAGCAACTCAGGTTATTTGGCCAGAGGGAAAACATGCATTTGTTCATTCCCCATAATGATTACTCACATTGTATCTGGCACTCTTTTAACTAATCTGTATTGGAAAACTAAGAAAGAAAAAAATTATAGCTTTATTTCCTGTTTTAAGAATGAGATTGGGACCAAGTGGTGGATGCTTCACACCTTTTTTAATCCCAGCACTTAGGAGGCAAGATCCCAAAACAAAATTCAGATGGCTCAGAGATCTCTGTTGAATCTGATCTTTTTTGGGTCTTTGAGGGCATATGTGGCATATACACACATAGATATACAAACATACAAATAGGGTCTTGCTAGATTTCTCTGCTTGGCCCAGAAGTCACTATGTAAACCAGGCTGCGTCTGTCTCTCAAGTGCTGGGATTAATGGTGTGAGCCACCATATCTGGCCCCCGATAATATAAGTTTGATCCCCTGAACTCATAGTGGAGAAGAGAACCAACTTCTCCAAGTTGTCCTCTAGCTTCCATACAAATGCCATGTCTCATATGTGCCCTCCCTACAAAATAAATAAATGTAATGATTATAAACTTTGGGTTATAGAAATCCCAAAGACAAGTAGCAGTTCCAGATCTGAATTACAGAGATCAGATGACAAGTTGGAGTTGAGCGAAATGACTGATAATGGTGAGGGCAGGAGAGGACAGAGTTCAGTTCAACTGTAAGGGAAAGGCATTGTGGGAGAAGTATTGCTTACAAAAGACTCCCTCTTGATGAGATATCTTCCTTAGATCTCTTGGTCCAATTGAATAATTTGCTGTAGGATTTGCTGCTGTATATTATGGGATCTTCAAGGAAACTAGAATTTTTTTAGATCCTTCTCATTAAGTTTTTATTTGTTTAAGGGTGGAGGGCAGATCCTGGTATACACCTCACAGAGGAAGACTCTGGATAGCAGCCACAGGCAAAAGACCTTCCTCTCAAGAAGTCTCAGAACTCCAGGCCACTTATTGTCTTCTTCGTGGGAAAGGTAACAGCCACACAAATACTCGGTTTTCAGTCTGTTTGTCCTTAATGCTCATCTTCTTCTATTTCCTTCTCCGTTTGACTTTTTCTTGTGTTAAAGAGACTTAAAACCTCCCATTTATCTATTAGTTTGATTTGGAGACAGGGTCTCCCAGTGTAGCCCAGCTGCCCTGGAACTCACTATGTGGTTAGGCTAATTCAAACTCAAGGCAGTTTTCTTGCCTCAGCTTCCCAAATGGTAGGATAAGAAGTATAAGCCTCCATACTCAGCTTATTAGTGGGTTGAGTGATAAATCATAGAAGGCTATTCAAAGCATTAATTTCTCTAAAAATTCAAGGCTGAGTATGGTGGGACATACTTTCAATCCCAGCACTTGGGAGGTAGAAGCAGGTGGATCTCTCTTGAGTTTGAGGCCCATCTGGTCCTTGCAATAAGTTCCAGGCTAGCTAGAACTACATAGTGATACCCTGTTTAAAAAAAAAAAAGTTAAATATTAGAAAATGAAATAAATATTTCACAAACAAAAAAAAATCAACTAATTCTCATGATCTTGTTCTAATTTTAATTATTTTATGAGTTTTGTCTACTAGTATGTATGTGCCTACAGTGCATGGAAGCCAGAAGAGGGTGTTGGATCCCCTGGGACTTGATTTACAAAAAGATAGTTGTGAGATGCCATGTGGGTGCCACTGCTCTTAACTGCTGCACCATTTATTCAGTCCTTAATGGGAAATACTTATCCATTTATCTGTCTGTCTGTCCGTGTATTTAATTTGAGGCAGGGTCTTATGTGTACCCTGGTTGGCCTGGAACTTGATATGTAGACTAGACAGGCCTTGAGCAAGTATAGATCCACCTGCTTCTGCCTCTTAAGTGCTGGGATTAAAGGCTTGCATCACCACACCCAGCCAACCAACTAATCTTAATTGTGTGATCTTCTCATCTATTTATTGTGGAGATAAAATAACTGATGGGGGGAAGTAAGAAAAAAAAAAAAGAATTTTGTGAGGCTGGAGAAATGGCTCAGTGCTAAGAGCTCCTACTGCTTCTGCAGAGGACCCAGCTGCATTCCCCAGCACCCATGCTGGGCAGCATCCATCTGGGCAGCTCACGGGTGTTTCAGCCTCAGTGGAATCTGACACCTCTGGCCTAGGTGGGCACCTGCACTCATGTGCATGTACCTAGAAACATACATACATATAACTCAAAATAATAAAAACAATTAAAAGACTTTTAACCCTTGAGTTCCTTGTGTCCCCTCCTATTCTGGCCCATACAGTTGTGAAGATAAAAGGGAAAGATAATTATAAAACCATGTTTGAAGGTTTCTAAGAAATCAAGCTGATGCAATCACTAGGGGCTGGAGAAATGACTTAGCGGTTAGGAGCACTAACTGCTTTTCCAGAGGACCCGGATTCAATTCCCAGTACTCACATGGTAACTGTCTCTAACTCCAGTTTCAGGGAATACAACATCCTCACACAGATGTGCATGCAGGCAAAACACCAATGCACATAAAATAAAAGTAAATTTTAAAAAACAAAGCAAAACAAACAAACAAACAAAAAATACCACTTATTTCAGAGCTGACTGTGGTGGTGCACACTTTTTTTTGCTTTGTTTTGTTTCCAAGATAGGGTTTCTCTGTAGCTTTGGAGGCTGTCCTGGAACTTGCTCAGTAGAACAGGCTGACCTCTTGAATTCTCAAGTGGTGGGATTAAAGGCATGCACCACTACTGCCCTTCAGTGGGTGCACACCTTAAACCTAGGGATGGGAGGCAGAGACCTATGGATTTTTGAGTTTGAGGGCAGCCTGTTCTACACAGTTAGTTCTAGAACAGCCAAGGCTACGCAGGGAAACCCTGACTCAAACAAACAGCAACACAAAAAGAAAATCACATTTGTTCTTCTGTTTACCATACTTTTATTTTTTTTCTTGTTACCTATAGCTGCTTTTCTTTTTTTCTAAAACACTATACCTCCTGTTCTAATTTTAATGCTTTGGTTGTGATAAAAATCCATGACCCAAAGCAATTTAGAGGAGAAAGGGTTTGTTTTAGCTCAGAATCCCAGGTTTCAGTCATTATTTTAGGAAGCCACAGTGGCAGGAACTTGAAGCTAGTACTCCCCTCATATCCACAGTGAAGGACAGACAGTCACATGCTCAGCTGGCTCATACCTGGTTATCTTTCTCCACTCACATAATTCAGGACTCTGCTTAAAGAATAGTTCTGCTTGCAGTCTATTCTAACCCTATGCTGACACTATCTCATTGAGGCTCTTCCTACATGTAGGTTGTGTCAAATTAAAGTTAACCTTCATACCTACTCTAATCCAATCCATTTGTGAGTACATTAGAATTAATTTGCTTGGAATTAACCTATAGAGTCCTTGAACCTTGATGGTAGATGGAGGATTTCTCTAAAATAAAAGCTTCCAAATTTAACCTGTGAATAGAAACTAAGCTCACTAGATTTTTGCTAAAATACAAGCAGTTGTGCCATATAAGAAGCTTCACTGTTTTCCTTTGCTTCTACAGATAGATGATAGAAAAGGTTATGTTCTTATAGTTGAAAGCAGATTTCCTGAGTTCCAGGGTCACAAAAAAAGGAAATTTATCTGATCCTTTTGTTTTTTTCTGTTCAGATGTGGAATTTCCAAATGACTATCCATCAGGTTGTCTTCTGGGCTGTGTGGACCTAATTGATTGCTTGTCCCAGAAACAATTTCAGGAGCAGGTGAGTATTGAGTTCTTCTCATTGGCAGACACTTGCTTACTGTCCTGACAGGTTCTGGGTCCTCATGACAGGTTGTTCTGAACACAGTAAAGTGCTAGGAATTCAGAAGAAAAAAGGTCTCTCTCTCTCTCTCTCTCTCTCTCTCTCTCTCTCTCTCTCTCTTTCTCTCTCTGTCTCTCTCTCCCCCCTCCCCCTCTCCTTTTTTGAGAGATTTGTGGCACAGCTCAGGCTGGCTTCAAATTCGTGGCCTTACCTTCTCTGCTTCCAGAGTCTTTTGTGTCATATCCTGCTTTATTTTGTTTTGAGCCATATCCCTGGCCCCTGCATTTGTGGTTATCCTCTGTCTCTGGAGTGCTGAGATACAGGTGTGTAACCACCACCTCCAGCTCCAGGAGAATGGGTTTTTTGTTTTGTTTTGATGTTCAAGACAGGGTTTCTCTGTGTAGCTTTGGAGCCTATCCTGGCACTCGCTCTGGAGACCAGGCTAGCCTCAAACTCACAGAGATCTGCCTGCTTCTGCCTCCTGAGTGCTGGGATTAAACCAACGCCCGGCTGATTTTTTTTTGAGAATGTTTTAATAAATGTACATTGGAGGGAGAATATGAATATGTCAGAAACAGAAGCACTTAGAGATGACTTAGTTTCCAGTATATGGGGAAGTAGCAGGCCAACATTTCTGAAAACTAGCAGTCACTTCACCACTGTCCAGGGAAGTAAGTGTAAGGTCTTCATCCTTTCTTTAAGCTTTGCTTTTTAGGTTGTACTGGATAATGTACACCTTTATCCCAGCACTTGGGAGGCAGAGGCAGGTGCATCTGTGAGTTTGAGGCCAGCCTGGTCTACTGAACGAGTTCCAGGACAGGCTCCAAAGCTACAGAGAAACCTGTCTTGAACATCCCCCACCCCTTAAAAAAAAAAAAAGCAAAAAAAAAAAAGCAAAAATTATTTTAGTGAAGAAACTCTAAAATACTGATTTTCATTTTGACTGGATGGTGTGTGTGTGTGTGTGTGTGTGTGTGGATAATCTGTTTTGGCTTGTCCTGAAGCCTTTCTTCCAGATCATTGAACTCATGATAGACAAATGTTTTTTAACTTGATTTAATTTGTGCCATGTTGGGGTACATGTGTACAAATTTTTAAAAAAAAAAATCTTTAAACTGACTTAACTCAAACACATTTTGAACAGTAGGGGGCACCAAAGAACCTTAACTTCTTTGGGAAATTCCTCAAATACAGTGTTTGGGCTCAGAATGGCAGGGCTCCAAAACAAACAAAAAAGGCCAAATCCATCCTTGAAACAGAAAAGTCTTACAGACAGTGTTGTTTTCCTGTTCTTTGAGCAGTTACTTTAAGCATTTGGGCTTCTGCTACTGTGCATAAGAAAATGTATTTCAATTTAGTTTTACTCAGTAAATTCATTTTTCTAGATGTTTGCCTTTTTTTTTTTTCTTGCTGTGCTGGGTGATCCCAGGACTTCATGCATTCTAGTCAAATACTCCCAACACTAAGCTATATCCCCAGCCTCCCAAATAGCGTCCTTCCTTCCTTCCTTCCTTCCTTCCTTCCTTCCTCCCTTCCTTCCTCCCTTTCTTCCTCCTTCCCTTCCTCTCTTCTTTATTTCTTTCTCTTTTTCTTTCTACCGTTCCTTTCTTTCTCTCCTTCCTTCCTTCCCTTTGTTCCCTCCCTCCCTCCTTTCTTCCCTTCCTTTCTTCCCAAGGCAGCATCTCACTGTGTAGCTCTGTCTGTCCTGGAACTCACTGTGTAGACCAGGCTGCCCTTGAACTCACAGAGATCCACCTGCCTCTGCCTCCCGAGTGCTGATTAAGGTCAGATGCCACTGTACCAACTACCATTTTTTTTTTTAATTTACTGTTTCTAACCCCCCAACCCTCTCAATACTTCCCTTAGCCTCCTAGATTTCTTTATATTTTTGTCAGTTTGTTTTTATTATGGTTTGATTTTGTGACAGGGTGTTGCCATAATATCCCAGGCTGATTTTTTTTTAAAGATTTATATATTTATTATGTATACAGTGTTCTGTTTGCATGCCAGAAGAGGGCACCAGATCTCATTGTAGATGGTAGTATGCCACCATGTGGTTGCTGGGAATTGAACTCAGGACCTCTGGAAGAGCATCTCACACTCTTAACCTCTGAGCCATTTCTCCAGCCCCCAGGCTGATCTTGAACTTGCAATCTTCCTGCTTCAGCCTCACAAATTCTAGGATTTTTTTTTTTAGAGGTGGATTTTTTAAATTTTATGTGTATGGGTGTTTTGCCTGCCTGTATGTCTGTGTACCACATATAGACAGTTCCCACAGAAATCAGAAGAGTGCATTGGATCAGAGATCCAAACTGCAATTGGTACTGGAGCTATAGTTGTGAGCTGCCAGGCAGCTAGGAACTGAATCTGGGTCCTTTGGAAGAACATCCAGTGTTCTTAACCATCTTTCCAACACCCCCAAATGCTGGAATTATTGATGACCACCACCATACCCGGCCTGTCTTTCACCTTCATTTTGCTTGTTTTATTTTCTTCTCTCCTTTGCTTTGCTTTCCTCTCTGCTCAAGACAGAGTCTCATATGCTAGGATTGCCAGGTATATGCTACCAAACTCTACTATGTCTTTTTCTTTTTTCTTTTTTTTCCTTTTTCTGAAACTGGGTCTTTCATAGTTAAGCCGACCTCAAACTCCATCTTTAAGCATAGATTATCTGATCCTCCTGCCCCAACCTTCCAGGTGATGTTATTATAGGCATGACCCCCACACCCAGCACTGCCAATGATTTTCTTAATGTTGCTTCCTCTGTCTCTTTACTTATATGTTCAGTGTGTGCACTTGGGTGTGATATTTGACTCCCATTCTTTTTTTTTTCTTTTTTTCCTTTTTTTCTGAGACAGGGTTTCTCTGTGTAACCTTGGCTGTCCTGGAACTCACTCTGTATACCAGGCTGGCCTCAAACTCACAGACCTGTCTCTGCCTCCTGAGTTCTGGGATCAAAGGCGTGCACCACCGCTGCCCAGCTTGACTCCTGTTCTTTTGTTCTGCCCTTAGTATGTAATCTAGACCCAAAGCATGGGAACATGGAACCTTTCATCTCTGTGCCCTGGTATCTATGTTTTTGCTTCTTTTCCACCTCTGTTTGTTTTAATGTCCTGTCCCCCCTTTCTGCTATGAAAATAAGTGTATTAGTTTCTTTTCTGTTATGATACCATACCTGACAGAAGAAATTTTAAAGGAGAGAAGATGAATTTGGGATTGTGGTTTCAGAGGACACAGTGGGAAAGGCATGGCAGGTAATGTCCAGTAGGTTATGGAAGCTTGTATCTACTGCTTCTCACAGCTTGGCAGATCATGAATCAGAGGGAAAAGGACCACAATTAGGACTATAACCCTCAAAGGCTCCCCTTTGGTGGTCCATCTCCACCATCTAGGCCCCAACAACATCCCAAAATAGAACCAGCAGCTGGGGACCACATGCCCAAACACATGAGCCTGTTGGGGACATTTTTAAAATTCAAACCATAATACTGAAAACTACAATCTTAATATGTGGGGTATTTTGAGGGTTGCCATCATTAGAAGTCTAATTAACAAATCTTATTTTCCCAAGGATACTCTTCCTTCAGGTCAGCATTATGCTCTCCTTTAGCTTGGATTTATTGTGTGCTATGTAACTGAAGTTGCTGGGACAGTATGTAGAAATGACAGAATCCTCTCGCATGTTCCATGATGGAGATCCCGGCAACTCTCCTTATGGATTACTCTTATGTGTGCCATGAACTTACACCAAAATGCTAGGAGTTGGTAGGTTTCATGGAACATTGAAATCTCATACCCTTTTCTCATGGTTATCAGGTTTTCTGTGGCTTTCCCCATTACTTTCTGTGTTTGAGAATATCATAGGAATATATTCAGAGTAGATAATAGCTTAATTTTGTTGTTTGTTTTTGAGACAGGGCCTCACTATGTAGCTCTGGCTGGCTTGGAACTCTATGTAAACTACTCTCTGTGTAGCCTTGAACTATCTTTTCCTGCCCCCTAAATGCTGGGATTAAAAGCATGCACCACCATCCCTGCTTTATTTTTTTTAACTTATGCCTATGTGTATGTGCAGATGGTTGTATGTACTTGTAAGTTATGAATCCAGAGGTGTCAGACTTCCTAGGAGTTGAAGTTATAGGTAGTTGTGAGCCACCTAACTTGGGTGCTAGTATTCAAACTTTGGTCCTCTGGAAGAGCAGGAAACTCTTTTAACCACTGAGCCATCTCTCTACTCCAGTGAATCTTGTCACTTTTGGAAATGGTTGCTGTCTTTTGCCCCCCTCCCCATCCCCAGGAGAAAATCTGGGATTACAGATGCTTCTGTGTTTAGCTTTACATGAATTAAACTCGGGTACTCATGCTTTAGCAGCAAGCACTTCACCATTGAGTCATCTCAGTGTTTGTTTGCTTTATGGTACTGTGACTAAACAAACCCAGGGCCTTGCTCACTCTAGGCAAGTGCTCTACCACTTTTAGCCTAATTCTTGTTTTTAAATGAATGAGTTGGTATTTGGGGGAAATAGCCCTGTACTAGGATTTCACAAAGTACTTCATTAGGTGTTCCTTGAAATTAGCGTACATCTGGGAAACATCTTTGGATTAAGCAAATTTGTTTATCATAGAGTTTTTCAGCGCCTTTAATATGTAAGTACAAGTTAAGGCTCTCTGAGAGGTAGATAGTAAAATACAGTGTTCCTAAACATTTTCCTCCCTGCAGCAGTGTTAGTAATCAGATCCAGGACCTTGCACATACTAGGCAAGCCCTCTGCCGCTGAGTTACTTCCCTATCCCCCTCACACATACTCATTGCTTGTTTGCATACTACAGAGCTGTATAGTCGTAGCACGCACAATTTAGGATGTAAGGTCAGCTTATTGAGCAAGAACCATCCAGGAAACAGTTTCTAACCTGTGTCTTCAGCATCTCAACATAGATTCTTATTAACCAGCTGAGTC